TAAATGTTCATGTAGACGCTCTTAGTAAAAATATTAACTGAAGCAACAGTATAGCGACGAAGTATTTGGGTCTTTCAGAAAAGACAGTTTAATTTCCGGTTAGTACTGCATATTTAAATCTTGAATCACGCAAACCAAGCGTCGATAAGATGAGAGAAGCGACCAAGCGAGTTCCAGGAGGCAGTTCAGAAGGAGAAGATGCGATTTCTGGAAAAATAAATTTATTGGTCTGACGCTTAGGATTCTGGGACACCCGCCGTTGTCTATCTGATCGCTACCCAACAGTACGCCTCAGAGTGTTTGTCAAATGAAAACAATTTCGGGGATGTTATAGTGAACATCCCGCTCTTTAATGCGCAGTTTTATCTCAAATGCTAAGTTCGGTCACCGAATTTGCTGAAACAATGAGTATTGCACGACTTGTACTGGTTACTTTTTACAGTATTCTCAAACGTGCTTGCTCTAGCTATTGTTCTTTCGTCTTCACCTTAGCATTTTCTCAGGCGTCCTTACAGAAGGACAAATTATGATAACTTTTATACCCACCCGTTAACAGCGGGGAGTTCGGCTTGAACTCTGCAAGTGAAATAGTGTTTCAGTCGGATAAGCTTTATTCTAACAAACAGGAATAAATTCAGACATCTTTCTCGTTAATAATTGAGCACTAAACAGCCGCCACAGAGTACTGCTACCTTGACAACAGCCTTGTTGAACTTTCGTAAATTTACTTATCTTCTTATTCTACAGGCTTCGGGAAGATTGCATGCCTTCTAGTTATTCACATTGGAAACCATTTTACTGTGAGACACTACTGGAAACACAAAGCTTCATAATTCAGGAATATTTTAAAGTTCCGAATCTTCCCATCCGAGAATTCAGAAGAGTAGGTGGCGAGAATACGTATACTTTCGATAATTTTTTATCGGGTCAATTACATTTATATGGGAAGAGGTATAATGTACAGTGTAAACTGCAGGTAATTATCATCAAACTTACAGGCAAATTAGTCATGGGATTAGGAGAGGGGGTTGGGATTTGTAATAAGCAGCTAGTTACACGGCAATAGGGGGGGAAGTGGGGCGAGAGTGAGAGAGAGCATAGAAAATGCCGGTAGTTATGTGGGCGTTGGCCATGCTAGGCTCGGAGCTTGTAGGAGGTACTTCTGCACGAACAAAACTAGTTTCCTCAGCCGGATGGCCGTTGCTTCTGCTGTTTCTAGCAACCGCTGACCCAAGGACTTTGGTAGTTTGGTGAAACCTGGTAAATCACCTTGAAGGTTTCGTTGGGGTTCACACGATGTCCGGATGTTCTTGCCCGCATGGTTGACTCCGGACATCATGTGGACCCCAATGAAACCTTGTAGGTGATTTACAAGGTCCCACCAAACTACTCGAAGTCCTTGGGTCGGCGGTTGCTAGAAACAGCAGAAGCAACGGCCATCCGGCTGCGGAAACCAGTT